ATCTGCTTCAGGGTTTTGCACATACAAGAACCTGTTGGTTTTAAGATCCTGCTCTCCTTCCAGCTGCTCAGGACTGGCTCAGCTGAGCACTAATAGCAGGCAACTGGGGAGAGAAGTGAGCTGGAGGCAGTAACAGGTCATTCTGAAAATGAAAGGAGGGAGAATGTGCACAGGCCTCCTGTGCAGCTGGAAAAGAATTGTGTGATATGGTATTTTTCCTTATGTTTGTCCTCTGAAATGGTAAGGTATCTCCTTGCATTAGGTGATAAAGATCTTATTCAAGGCACTTGGAAGTCAGTGGAAGAGATTGACTAGGTGAAATGGTGTGTTGGAAGGGCCTGCGCAGGAGCCTCTGATCTTGCTTTTGTTCAGGGAGTCAGACAGGGTACGCTCTGACCAGGTGGTCTGGAGGGTGATGACATCTAAGGGGTTGCTTGTTCTACTATGGCTTCTGGGGAACCCGCAGGATGAGAGCAGTAAGTAAAACCTGGCAGATTAATGCATCCTAACACACTGCCCCACAGCCTGTAAGGAGAAGTCTAAAAGAGAGATTGGTCCCCACCATGAAGAAGGAATAGCACTGTGTTTCTCCTTGTCCCCTCTCTAGAGGAAAGCAACAGAAAATATCTCAGTGGTTTTCCAAGGAGCGTAGTTCTTAGGATCATTATAGAAATAGCTGTAAGAAGCATTTGTAAGATGATATAGCAGACTTCTAAAGTTTCATAATGTCCAGAAATGATGCTGTTTATTCTTGAGTGCCATCTACTGACAATTTATTTCTTCATTATTTGCTTTCATTGACATTGCTTATTTTAAATGCCCTGTGTAACATCTGTTAGCTTAGATGGAGGGGCCTGCAATTTGGGAGCTGAAGGATTAGGAGTTTGCATTTTACTGGGACAGCTGGCAGCTTGTAATGTTCCTTATTCCATAAGCACCTCATTCCCCTCTGCAGACCTGGATACTCTACATATGATATTCTCTGTTCTCTCTTTGACTTCCCTTTTTCCTTCCATCCCTCAACAGGCTTTTTCCCATCTGCCCTTCCTCCCCTGCCTGCTCCTTCTGCCTAGAAGGCAATTTCTTGCCTCTCCAAGCTCACTCTTCTGACTTCAAAGAGTAGCTCTAGTTGTGCTACCTCTTTGTGCATGAGGTTGCATCCATGAGTTTGTTTCAGTATTGCTGAGACCTTATTTCCCTCTCTCTTTTCTGTTCTTCCTCTTCTTTCAAGAGCTTTTTCAGCAACTTTTGTGCAGTAACCTTGAAAATATTTAATGATCACTGGCTCCACTATATTAACTGTTCTAGAGGTATTTTATTTTAGTTATGTGATACTTGAATTAGCATTATTATTACAGTTTTTCATTTCTCTCTGTAAGATTTCCTCCCCCACCAGTCCCATACATTTTGCAAAGATAAAAATAAATTAAAGGTGAAGAGTTATTGCCAAGGACAAGAGCTTGTGAAGTTTAGCTTACAAAGTATTTCTTCTCCACTGAAAAGACAATCTTTATAGATAGAGAAAACACCAGGTGCCTAACTCATTATAAGAACTGAGAAAATGGGACAGGAGGCTTCCTTCTTATACGCTTAGTTTTTAGCTTGGTTTTACCTCTGCCAGATAGCCAAAGGAATGAGGGAAATAGTAGTAAAGTCACCTAGTGCATAGCACCAATCTGATTGAGGCTTCTTTGACCATACCTTAGATAATATAGTGTGATGGCCAGTAACACCCTGGCACTCAGCTGCCGCTCAATTTCAGGTAGAAAATATCAAGCAGTACAAGTGTAGGCATTTGTCCGCAACATACTTATGTTGTGGAACTCCTTCCCGGGGGATTTCGCTGAGGTCAAAACTGTAAGTAGGTTTAAAAAGGATTAGACAGATTCATGGTGGGCAGGTGTGATGTTTGCTAGTAAGCATGACAGCCTGCATCTAACATCTGTTACAGAAAACCCCTGTAGAGCTGATGGCTTGAAGTCTCCAACAGGGAAACTGCTGTTCTGTACTGACCCTGTTTGGTGCTGCTGGTCCCTGCCAGGGGTAGTGGCTACAGTGACCAGGGCTGATTCAAAACAGCAGTCTTCGGTCTGGAGAAAGCCCATGAATTCCCTTCGAAATGACAGTTTGTCTTAAATGGTTATTCTCCGCTAAGAGCTCATGGATCCTCAAATCTCCAGTGAGAAAACTGGGATTGCTCCCCTGAACTCAGTGCCACAAAAAGCACAGGGTTAGGGTTTGATGGGGTAGTTTCAGTAGAGACAGAGTTTTGCTGAAGTGAGGGCTGAGGCGCATTTCAGTATTTGTTCCTGGACTTCTAAGTCCATACATTCTGCCTTTCATATAAACACAGATCCAAACCTAATGTTTGACTGACTTAGAAACTACTTAGCAGTAACATGTTATATGTCACTTGCATCCCACTTCTTTTATTTCAATGATTAACAGACTTCTGTGCTGCAATTTAGAATTCCGCCTTTTTCCTCCTTTCTTGAATCAGGCAGTGAAAACTGATCGGTGACAGAGATGATGCTTGTGAAATTGCTGCACAGGGGTTCTTCTCACTGAAGGGCTGACAAGATACCAGCTGAGGAGAAAGCTTAATTGCACGGGTGATCAAAGGAGAATGTATGAAGACAGGGAGACTGTAAGGGGGTGTGCGTAGGAGTCTGTTTTAGCAAGAGATTATAGGGGAACATGTGAGTCTGGCACACATGAAATGACAGAAATAAATGCATGAGCATAGTACAAAATAGCACACTAACCAAAGTCATCCACAGATCAGCTTCAGCCCCTTCTCAGCTCTTGCCTAAAAGAACTGTATTCTATTAGCTGTCATCCTCCAAACTATATGAAGAAAAAAAAAAAAAAGTGAAGATTTGTTCTTTGCAAGTGGAAAAGGAGAAGCAGGGGGAAACCTCATGAGACAACACCATCCGGGCTGAACTGAAAAAGAGAGATCAAAGCAATGAGCTGGAATGGGAGAAAGGACACACAGGACACTGATATGGTATACTCCTGGGAATGGGAGGAATTGATGTAAGAAACTGAGAACGGAGAAAGCATTGAAGGCACATGCTAGCCCTTCTGTGTGCTATAAAATACTGTACTATCAGAGTTTCAGTTCACAATTTGTATGATGCTTTATTGTATTGCTTACTCTCTTCCTTTATACTTAGCTCCACTTTCATCACTAGGAGTATCTGAGGAGTGAGATACCTCTAAATATGAAAACAGGTGCCCTCAAAATGGCTTATACATGAAGTTGCACCATTTTTGCCCAAATCCATTAAAAACCTCATTACAGTTAAATTGGCATAAACCTCTATGTCAGTGATGTTCAACTGATTTAAGCTGCATCAATATAAATCCAGTTTCAATTGATTTAAGAGCATCTAGGCAGAAATGCACTGCATTTCACAAACTGATAGGATACCGATTGAAATATCAAAATTTATGCACTCAGTCTTTTCATATTCAGCTGTAGGGTTTTTGAACTTCTACCATTTTACATTTTAGAAGCCCTTACAGGGAGTGAAAACAAGTAGTTTTAGAGCAGTCAGGTCAGTAGCCTTCTGATTCATCAATTGAACCTTTGTGCAACCACAGAAGCCTTCAGCTTTAGTGTTTTATAAAATTCTAAGGACAGAGGAGACGTATAATATTTCTACTTACCCTACTCTGAACTCAGAGTATTAGCGACTGACTAAACCTTTTTTTTTTGCAAAAGGCATCTAGCCTTTAGTTGAATACACCCTTTTTTGTAAAAATAATGAAAGCTCATCATCTAAGATGCTCATTCCAACAGTAAGCCATCCTGCCTCTTGTAACCAAATACCTCATTCCTATTCCGAGTTTCTCTTCTGTTCACTTCCAACCCTCAATTCCTGTTGCACCTTTTTCTGCTCAACTACATACCACTGCAGTTCTAAGAAGTCCATTTCAAGCTAACATGCCTTGCATAGACCTGTACAACTCAAATGTGGGTGACACTCAAGGTTACCAGTCCTTATCACAAGTAGCATCTTATTTCCCACAGGCAGGAGTGGGAGAACAACATTTCTCAGTCTAGGAGTAAGGGTGGCACAGTTAGGATCTCTACAAACACAGATACAGCACTATTTTAGCATTTCAGAACTCAAGGAACACTATACACATACACACATCCTGTATGTTTCAGGTACATTTGGCCCCACTCCCCAAAATCCTGACCAGCAGTTCAGTGGATAAAGGTAAATGCCATCAAACTTGGTGCTCGGCTACTTTCATCATTCTTTCTCCCACCTTTCCAACCACTGCCCTCTAGCAAGGGCTGGAGGCATGTGAGTAGGAGGAGGCAGAAGGGAAGCATCCAGCAAAACTGCTCTGTTCTCTTACATGAAGAAAAGAAAGATTTTTGAGTATGATTGCTCTCATCTATTCTCATGTACAAGGTCCATATCTGCAGACTGTATATGCAAAAATTACCTTCTCCTCTCTTCATGGATATGAAAAACAAAACAAGTGCTACTAGAAGAAAGGGAGATTGCCTTGACCATTAAGGAACTGGGCATAGTTGAGTCAGTTGAGAAGTCTGTCAGATTGCCTGCATGATCACAGATAAGTCATTTAATCACTCTGCGTTCAAGTTCCCCACTCTACATGGTCTGTTTACGGCCAGCTTGAAGCAGTCTAATGTTTTCAAAGCTTATCTAATATAACACTTGGAGGGCAAATGCAGTTGTGATCTTGAATTGACACTGTGTAATGTTAAAAAGAGGATAGAAAAGTATTGTCCCTCATGGGCTGGCAGTGATAAATTATGCAGTCCTCTCCTTCCAGCCTCTCACATCTGTGATAGCTGTAGTAGAAACTTAATCCAAACACTGCTCTTATCTAGCACTGGAGCTGTCAAGTCAGTCTCAGCTTTTGTGTAAGACTTAATGAAAAATGAATCTGACAATTTCTCCAAGCTGAAAGGCCTCTAACCATGCCTCTGGCCTGCTAGCCATAGTACTTACATGCTTTGTGAAATTTGTGTTTCACATCAAGAAGGGTAGATGATGGAGGTACCTGGAAAAGAAAACAAAATGCATGCAGATTAATTTTTCCGTCTTGTTCACTCTGGGATCCCTTTTCCCCTCCTCTGATGAAGAGATGATTCAGTTTGTTTGTGAGTTTCTTAGGCAATAACTAAGCAAATCAGAAAATTTGCTCTCACATGTTGACACGTTATTAAGATTTGATTTACACATTACCTGGACCACGTTTGCTTGGCCAATGGAAGGGTAAGATCCCAAGGGTTGAGAGGAAAAGCTTCAGGCCCTGCCTGTGGCAGTAACTGCCCCTGAGATCAAACCAGTGGGACAACATCAAGGGTTGGCTTTAACGTTAGGTTCAAGCATGCAGAGGCATATCACTTAGAGGCATGAAAGGGTTTTCCTGAGGGCCTAGTAGCAAAGGTGGCATGTTCTGTCCTTTCTGCCTGAAATGAGTTTGCTTCTGCATGTTGTTGTACATGTGCACTGAAGCAATTCAAGTGTCACAGTGTTAGATGGCAGTCTGGAGGCCTTTTATGCTCTATTTTATTACGTACATTGATTTCTTAATACACTTTGCACAAAGTATCTGAGAAACACAGAATTTACTAGAGTGAAAGACTTAGAAGTACCTTGCATTTACAAGGAGAGGCAGTGGAACAGTTCAGGAAGTAGTATGCTGAGATTGAGATTGAAGTGGCAAGAGGTAAGGGTCTGCTCTTAAATAGAGCATCCCTTTGCAGCTGACATTGATTTAATACTCTGTTGTTCATTTAAGCACAGAGACTGAGAAGTATATTGAACTATGTCTTAACTATGGGGATCTGCTTTGGCTCTAGCAAGAGACTTCCTCACTGCAGTCACACAGCAGAATGCAGAAAAACACCTTTCCTGGAGACTTGAGGCACCTGCACAGCATAGGCTAATACCAGTATGAAGTGTTGGTGACGTAGCAGAACCCTGAGGAGCAGCAGAATTTCTTTGGGTTGACATAGAGAAACAGCCATGGCACCATTTTCCCTGTCTGGGCACTCATCACCTGGTTCACCCCATCTCTGTCTTCTAACCAGAATGCAGCAGTTCCCTGATGTAGCCTCCTTGGTAGACACAGAAACCCAGTAGTTCTGCTCTGCAGAAGCTTGTCTGTCTCTTCCCACTTAAAGATTTCTGTTGGGTTTACTGGGCAGTCCAATTCCTGCTTCACTGTATTAGTTAAAACTCATAGACTTAAGTATTAATCAACTTACTGAACCTTTCTGGGATCTTGGCACCATCTTTAGCCTGTAGCCCCACTTCTTCCAAATATGATTAGCGATATCTATCTATCTATCTATTTTACTTATTAGTGATACTAGTGAATTGTGACAATAACCACACAAAAAAATAGAGAAGGACATAAATTCTGCTAGTAGAGATCAGTCATCACCTTAACATAGGTTGTTTTGCTGAAAAGACTGGGTTTGGAGAAATACTGATGTAAGAAAATAAAATTGGTGACTCAAATGCAACAAATCAGTACAGAAATACAAGTTTTGCTCTTATATCATTTGATACCCCATGCAAATATACAGTATACGTGCCATCTTATAGCAGTAAGCCAACTTATTTCCAGACATAATATGAACAGGCAGAGAGCTAAATACAGATTTCAGTGATCTAAAGCTGTAAAATGATACATGTGCTAAATGGTATGTAAAGTTAGGAATTTTCCCTAGCTTTTTCTTTGGGTTTAGATGAGAATGCTTTCTTTTCCACAGTTACAGAGGGTTTTACTGGGCACTAGAAAAGTCCTTATTTGCAGTCACAGCAAATTACTTAAATCCTAATTTGTCTTTCTGATGCGCCTGCTAAGCAATACCAACTCCACCCAAATCAAGAGCTGTTCTCCTTCAAACTGATACACCCTTTCCCCCTTCCAAATATCACCAGGGTCTGTGTTGCTTCCCAACTATGTTGAACAGTACTGGGCCAGGAAGGGGACATGGAGTTCCAGGTAACAGCCAGATCCCTTTTCTTCCTAGTTACAGGGAACAATAGAAGCAGCCATCTTATCTTTATCAGTTCAAAAAGGAAAAAAAAAAATCACTTTTTATCTGTATTCATTGCATTTAAGCCATTCCACGAAACATCCAGTAGAACAGCACATCTCCCATAGTCTACATGTGCCTTTTCTTGTAATGTGTACAACCACTGTGGACTTCAATATGGGAGATAGGGGCTTTTTATGTTTTCAAAACCACTAAAAAGATCTGTATTTGCTTTCTCACACCTTCTAATGTCACACCTGTGAGGTCTGGAGCCCAGAACCCATCAGATATGGATGTAAGTGCTGTTAGCTAGCAATGACTATATGACACACAAGACTGCAGACCATAATCTGTCACATATCCTAGCACGGGGCAGGTGTGCAGGTTTTCAGAGCTGGCACTGCCAGCTCAAGGACAGGAATGGTCTTTTCCAATGTGATGGATGATGATCTGGCTTTCTAAATATAGCATAAGCCACATTACTGCAGGGCCTGCATCCCTACAGGAAATCAGCATCTTGCCATGCCGGATTCTGGGAAAGAGTAGCCAGGGCCAACCTGTGCTCTGGAGAGCTGATCATCTGATTATGTCAAGGGAAGCTGAAGGACTATTAAGCTTAGCACATTCACAGAGCAGTGCTAGCTCAAAAGAAAGCCCATGGTTTCCATCTCCTGCACTCCTGAGTATGTGTCGATTGAAGCAGTGCTGCTTTCAATCAGTGCAAAATTTCTAGTCCAGCCCTTCTTAGCAACTCTACCTTTACACCACTCTCCCATTTTTCAGCCTGAGGCTTTCAGTGATTTTTTTCCCTTCCAAATCCTGCTATGCCAGCCATCAGATTCATATCACCTAACTTTAGCTACCAAAAAATTAGTCTAAGCTTGTGTTTTAGGCGTACCTATAGAACCATTCATATGACTCGGGTGTTTAAAAGTTACTAAGTGCCTGCCAGGATCTGTGCTTACAAAGGCCTGCTGCCGCAGAGGAACCAGGGAGCATATCCTTGTGGTGTGATGTGAACCACCATGCACCACCTCCCCTACCTCCAAAGCTGGTGCTTGAACCGTGCCGCTGCAGCTGGAGGGGACTGTGCTCTGTACGACACTTATGAGAGAGGCAGAGCTCATTAGCAAGAGCACTGCTGTGCCTGAGTACATCCAAGCCGCTTTAGGCTAGAGCTGGTTTAAAGCCTGGCAGCTCAGGCCCATGGGCTCGGCTGGTTAGTCACAGTCTGGCAGCGCTGCGTGGCACCATGCCGTGCGGGCTTCAGGTGCCCAGGGAAGGGCTGGGGCACGCACCCAGACAGGAGGGCAGGAAGAGTTTGGTTTTATGAGCCAGCTGGCTTAGAAGAGGGCTCTTCCACTCGAGACAAACCACACAAGTTGAAAAATAACACAAATACCTTCCTCTTCGGAATGGGCTACGGCACCGGGGAAGCACAGTGTCCTTTCTCAAGCAGAATAACAAGGCTATAGCCGCAAAAGAATGAAATACATTTTTTTATGATCTTGATAATTTTGTGTCCTTTTTTTAAAAGACCTCATAAAACAAACGGTGAAGTTATAGTTTCTAATATTGATCAATGTGAAGATGGATGCTGAGACATCAGCTTACTACTAAGACTGTCCTCTTCGTAGACCATTAATTATCTTTTGTTCTTTTCACTGTACATCAATACGAGCTAAAGAATTGTAAGGACTGGAACAGCATCTGCTCTTACTACCCTTTGTGCTAACTGAATAAAGCACCCTGGAACATTTTGCTGTAATTATTAGTCTTACTCTCCTTTTATTCTTCTGAATTCTTTCTGAAGCGTTATAACCTTCCTTTTCCTCTATATCAGCACTTTTCAAACACGCAAAGGGAAAACAGTGTGAAAGACCACCCTGACTTTATTTAAAACAAGAGAGATTTCACTGTAAAAATACTTCTTACTTGGCACATATCTTCTATGTCTGATGGTCAAGCCAGTTTTACCTCCAAAATATAGGTAACTTTCTAGAAAGTTGCTATCTTGTGTAAGGTTCAAGACTACTTTTCTTCACAAAAAAGTGTTATGAGGAAATGCAGATTTTACAGTGTGGGTTGCATTCATTACACTTTTCATTCAGAAAAGGATAATTTCAAAACCTCAAATCTTTTTTTTCCCTGTACCTTCCCAGCAAAAATATATTTACTTTTCCATTTGAGGCAACTTTTCATTTTTTTAGGAATTTGAGAATGAAAGAACCTTCTGGCTCATCCATTCCAGTTCTATCCTTCCTTTATGCAGCAATGCACAAAGCATCACATTTCTTTTTAAGATTTAAAATACTGTATTAGTAACTTAGGCTGTGACTCAAGGAAGAGCACTAAGTGGAAGATATTAGGGGAACTTAATGCTGCCTTTTGTGAGTGCGAGCTAATCAGCTAGTTATCCACTTTCATACCACTTTCACATTCATAAGTCAAGGAATTATAACAAATCTGGTGATCTGTATGTAATTGCATCACACAGTTCTTGCACTAAAGAATTATTCTGGAGGTTAGAGGTTAGCAGAATATCAATAAGAATTTGAATAATAGAATTTTAGGAAATAGATGATCTTTCATTCCACATTTCCCTTTGAATATTTTTTCCCGTTGTGACATGTCCATACCACTGCACTGCTGAGTCACCCACTTTCATAATTGCAAAAATTCAGAAATTCTGCCACTCCAGATGCTCATTAACCACAGATGGGTCCACCTGCAGCCAGGGTAAATTTGTTCAAAATTTAGATTGGATTACTTTTTCTTATTTTTAATTTTCAAAGGTAGTATTAAAAATTGGGTACCATCTCACTGTAATCTCCCTCAGTGTGTCTGACACTGCTCTCCTGTTAGCTTGGTGAACCAGGTCATGCCCAAAGAGATATAAATAGATGAGCTCTCCGTGAAAAATGACATAGAAGTAACTACATATAGACAAGTGTTGTCAGCAGCTACACAAAGGCTTTATATAGAATTTAATATTTTACTCTGCAGA